ATATTTGTAATACATTATTTCTTTTGTCGCGCCCATCAAATATAAATAATCATCGCAAAACATCCGCTTTTTCAGGATTCTTCTAAACTTTTCTGAATTTTGAACAGGATCAGTATGTACATAGCACCACCACAGATTATCTAAAATATATCCAACTTTATTAAATGGAATAAGTAATTTATAATCTAAGTATATCATATTTTACATTATACAGAAGACTATAATCCAAAACAAATATTCCATCACAAGTTAATTTTAAGTCCATATTCGATACTTGTAATTTAAAAGATTCGAGTTTTGCTCTCATATATTGGTGAAGTATGGGATTTCTTGAAGCGTCATGAATAATACTAATAGTTTCTTCAACCTAAAATTTGATAAAATCCTTCTTATCATATCTCAAAATATACGTTATACTACTGCTCAAATAATCGAGTTATGATCAAACGGGAGCAATCTAGTTTTTGATACGAAATTTGAGAGTATTACTCTAATTATAAAATTTAGTTCAATGTTTAGAATTATAACGCAATAAATAATCATTTACATTATACTATATAGTTATATTTGTTCACATGGTGGATCCCTTTGAAAGTGGTTTACCTGGGCCCCCAGGGGTTTATGACAATTTTCAAAGAATGTCATATCAGAGAAGAAAACTTATGGGTCCACGCAATTAAAATCAGAGTCTACTATAAGTGAATCTCATTGCAGCATGTTATCATCTATTAATTTGTATTATATTGTCTATAATAAAAGTCATATGCAATATTTATAACATTATAAAATATGTAAGTTGTAGGATTCAATTTGCGGACGCAATGTCTTTCAATTTTTAAAAACTGGCTGGCTTTCTGTTCAGAGACTTATATTTGGCAATATTGTTGGCGCTTTTTGAGACTTTTATGGTATTTCTCGAGAAATTTAAAAGCCGGTTTAATAATAGTAAAAAAATACTCGTAATTTGTAGTAGAAAGGAGCTTCAGCCTTCTAACAAAAAAAGACGTTGACTGAACATCATTGGTCGCGAGAGATTAATTAATTAATTAATCTGTACAGAATTATCGCCAAATGTTGACAATGCTTAAACGTTTACTTATAACTTACGTAGTTTTCTCATTTTAAATACAATTAATAAATACATAAACTTTACATGTATTTTTACTTCAAATGTTTGATAATAAATTTTAGAATAGTATAAATTAATAAAAATTCGATATCGGATAACTATAGAGGGTCTATATGGCAAAGAGCATGGGGTCCACGACAAACAAAAGTTTAGGAACCTATGCGCTAGACCAGGGGTGGGCAAATACTTTAAAGCGCGGGCCAAAATGAAATTTTCAAAATGTCTCTCCCGGGCCGGAGGTTTTGGGTGGAGTTTTTTCCCTGTCCAATTTTTTTTTGACAAAAACACTATGTATCATTTCAATTTGAATAAAATATGTCACGTAATTTTTAAAGAAATATTATTATAAATAAATGGCTGTTAGATAAACCGGTCAATGAAACATTTTATTTTGTTATTTATGTTTTAACGATACAAATTATTTTATATTGACGCACAGTTATTACAATTTAACATTTATATTGCATTTCGTAGGTATAATAGTAAATAGATTTCAAAAACGTAAAAATAAATAATTAAAGTTAATGCGAACGTGAAATCTCGAATATTCATCTGACATTATTTCTTCAAAATTGGGTTCCAAATCACTTGTGGCAATCCTTAATACCGAGTGCAGATTTTCAGTAATTTGTGATCGATATTTATTTTTCGTGGAAACCATTAAAGAAAAGTTCTCTCACAAATATATGTCGACGAATAATAACAATGTATTTTTGAACATAGTTAAAAAAAAGTTTGAAATGTTCGTTATTCAAAGCACTTAATTCGTTTGAGTGAAAATTTTCTTTTAGTGAATTATTTGATTGTAAGTCAATTAGTTCTAGTTGAATTTCAACAGGAGCTTCGAGATATCGTTTAGCCAAGCCTTATTTTGCAATTCAGGAAAATCATGTAGTTTTCCTTTTATCGACAAGAAGGATACTATTTCATCATGTAAAAATTGTTCTCGAAAGGCTTACATTTCAAAAATATGTTTCTATTCAAGACAACAGATCTCCGACACTTGTACCATGCATTATTTAACAAATTCTGTTTCAGAAAACGTTTACAGAACTTAGCAATTTTATGTGCGATAACATAACTTGCTTTTGTGGTAGATTTCTCTATATTACTTTGTTTGGTAAAAATCAGCGTACCGCCCATTTTATTACGCCTATTATATATACAGTACACACACAAATAATGTTGATGTCCACAAAATCTCATAAAAGAATTTAAAAAAATAAGCGTGCGCGGGAATTTTCAACGGGCCGGATAAAATGAGCAAAAGGGCCGGATCCGGCCCGCGGGCCGGCTTTTGCCCACCCCTGCGCTAGACCATAGGCTCCCAAAATTATTTGTGTCGAGGACCCCTTAGGCTTTGTCATATGCCCTCTATTCAGCCGATATAGATTTTTTTATAAATTTCTATTTGCACTAACGTTTAGTATTAACAATTAAAAGTAAGGATCCAAATACAAGTTTAGACATTAATTTATTGTCTTTATTATAATAATAATAAATAGACATTACAAGGTGTGTTGTTACTATTATGGATGTCTAAAATCTTTTTCGCTGTTGTGGACTCCTTGAAACTTGTCATGGACCCTTAAGGGTCCATATGGACAACTTTGGGGATTACAGCGCTAGACGAACAGATAAAATAGTATAGAGTTCTTAATATTCAGAAAATTATATATTTTGTAAATACATACAAACTTACACAAAATGGTAATTATTAACTTCCCGAAGGGCAAGTTATAGCAATCGCAAAAAAATCGAAAATGAAAATTTTTATATATCTATACGTTTCAAATCTTTTGAACATTTTGGCATACCTTTGGAAAATGAATGTATCTGTGTGGTATGTGTTTATGTGTGTTGTGCGAGTATGTGTGTGTGTGTGGATACAAATTTTTCGTCGACAATTTCGAGAACACGGATGAAGCGATTTGAATAATTCAAAAAAACATTCGATTCGTATTGATAAGGAGATGTGCTGATTAGTTTTTGGTGAAGGCAGGTGTAGCCGTTCCGAAGATATGGTAACTAGCTGTAAGTGGAATTCTGTCTTAAGGCAATTAAGGCATCGTGCCTTAAGGCAAATTGCTGGAACTTCCCGTATCAAAAATTATTATTTTTTAAAAACGACTAACATTTTTTTAAAAAAAATTACTTCGAAAAAATTAGATTTTTGAGAAACTATAAATTTGACAAAAAAATTACTTTTTTTGAAAACAAATTTTTTTTGAAAGAAAAATGTTTTCTCATTTTGACATTTTTGGAAATTCTGAACTGTTTTTCAAAGCAATCGTACTGCTTTATCTGCATAGAGACGAAATGTCAAGCGCGCAAGTGCCGCGCCGCCGTCTAACGGATAGCATTGGTACGGAACCCATAGAAATGTAAAAAAAAATTATACTTATTGTTAAAATCTCTATAAAATACCTGATAATTTGATGTGCATATGTCTAATGATCATTTTTGGCCGCCAATGGCATTTTTTTTACTTTTATCATTAGATCTCCGAAACCGTTAGACCTTCCTTCATGAAAATTTGATCAATTCTTCATCTTGTCAATACAAGTAAAATGTTTTTTGAATTATTCAAATCGGACGCTCCGTTCTCTTAAAAACTGAGTTACCGTTTTCGGCACTTTTTGCCCCGTATCTTCGGAACGGCTAGACCTGCCTTCGCGAAAAACTAATCAGCACGTCTCCTTATCAATGCGAATCGAATGTTTTTTGAATTATTCAAATCGGTTGATCCGTGTTCCCGAAATCGTCGACGAAAATTTGTATCCGCACATACATACACACACGTACATACATACATACACACACACACATACATCCATTTTTTCTAAGGTATGCCAAAATGTTCAGAAACCTTTGAAACGTAAAGATATAAAAATTTTGATTTTCGATTTTTTGGCGATTACTATAACTTGCCCTAGGGGAAGTTAAAAGTGCCAAAAACGGTAACTCAGTTTTTAAGAGAACGGAGCGTCCGATTTTACTTGTATTAATAAGATGAAGAACTGATCAAATTTTCATGAAGGCATCTAGCGGTTTCAAAGATCTAGTAAAAAAAGTAAAAAAAAAATGCCATTTGGCGGTCAAAAATGATCATTAGACATATGCACATCAAATTATCAGATATTTCATATAGATTGTAACAATGTTAATCCGTTACACGGCGACGCGGCGCTTACGCGCTTCGATATATCGTTTCTTCTATGTTTAAAGCAGTACGATTGCTTTGAAAAAAAGTTCAGATTTTCCAAAATATTTCAAAATAAATTTTTGTTCAAAAGTCTTTTTTTTCAAAAAAAAAGTAAATTTTTGTCAAAAATTTATGGTTTCTCAAAAATAAATTTTTTTCAGAGTAAATGTTTTTCAAAAATGTTAATCGTTTTAAAAATAAATAATGTTTGTTACCGGAAGTTCCAGCATTTGCCTTAAGGCACGATGCCATGCGCCCCACTAAGTTAGCTTCTTTGTTTATAAGTGCAAAACGCTGAGATTATTTGGTACAACGAAACTACTATCACTTACTATTATTATTATTATCAATTTCAGTAAAGCTTCGAATACTATTTTATTTACTTAAGTTAATTTCTATTTTTTTTTAAATTTGCAATAAAAATTTCACTCACCTGCTTCGTACAGCCATGGCACACACGTATCATTACAAAAGTAATCAGTTGATTGATAGATGTAAAAAATAAGCAATATTTTGATAAAAGCAATTTTATCCGGGCGTATAGTTACTGCACTGTATATTATTCCAAAGAAATCAGCAAATTGCCCAAATGAAGTGATGCTTGTAGTTATAAAAATGAGGTTTTCCGAAGCTACTATTAATTATATTTATTATTTCACACAAATCTAAGGTGTAGTGGGATATAGCTTTTATATCATCAATTTATCACAAAATTTTCACTTTTTAGTTGAAAATGGGATCTTAATGACTTAGTTATGTAGTGAAATCTTTGCTTAATATAGTGGACTATGCTAATATATAAATATATGATTAAAATCATAGCAGTATTAACTAAGAAAAAGTAATTCATAAATTAATATATCACTTTCCCATGTGAATAATGCATGCGTGAAGAAAAAAGCGTATTGGGCAGTGTAAAGTATATATCCAACAATTATGTAAAAAACTCTCGACTTCGTTTTAGATCATATCTCCTGTCAAGTATCAGAAACAATTCATCATAAATATTCAACTTATTTAATATACTTTCCTACCATATTTGATTGAAGATATTGTACTGTATAAATTGCTATTATTGAAGTAATTGCCGAAAAAATCTGCAGTAATATATTTGTGATTGCAAGAGGGTTCTTAGGTTTTAAAATGAATTTCAAGATAATTGACGACAATAAATATATTGTTATTAAAAAACAATAAAAGCACATGATTATTGGAAATATTATATATTTATAATTATATTTTATTTTATAATTGCTTTCATTGCTGCATGGAAATACAGTAAAAAACATCATAGGTTTTAAAATGAGAAAATTTCTTCGTAAGTATTTTGTGGATGAAAACATTTTTGATAAAATATTGCCACAAAGTTTTTAGTTTTATTGATCATTGATAAATATAGGTTATATGAAATTTTTATAATATACAGAATATTTGTTCACAAGTATTTATTATTACTAATCGGATTAATTTTCTTATTGTATTGAAGTGTTTTAAATAATTTAGCATACTTTTAGTTTTATTGGTTACCCCTGTTAATGTAAGTCCTGTTCACTATGCATATTTTAATCACAATTATTTATCAAAATGATTAACTTGAGTGATATTATTAATCATTTTATGTGAATTCATTACCAATGGAAGTTCCCACACAAAATCAATAATATTGTATGTTATCATTGAATGTATTGGAGTATTCTGAAGTTATTTGTAAAATGCTGAATGACAAATTATAGGGTGATTAGCGTACTGTTCATAAAAAACTACTTTGGAGTTGAAATAAAATTAAGATATACATGGCACCTGCACCGATTATCTGAAAAGAAGATTTATTGTTTATTTTTGCTTATATAATATCTTATGTATCGTTTTATTTGAACCATCACTTACGTTATACAAAAGTTTGAAATCCAAACAAAAATTCCATCGCAACTCAATTCTAAATCCATATGAGATACTTGTAAATTAAACGATGCTAGTTTCTGATACAACAAATTTTGGGTTGAAATTTTTCTCATTATTTCATGTATGATGCAAATAGTTTGATTAACCTTAAACAGCACACCAATTATTTAATTTCACAATGATAACAGTTTTTTCATTTAATTATTTAATAACTATAATGTGGTAAAACGTCCGATAACATCTAATTATAATAAAACAATAAAAAAAATCATAGAAGCTGTAATATAATAATCTATAAGGTTATCACATAATGGTATTTAAGATTTGAAATATTTTAAAACCATTTTATGAAAGTTTTATTCAGGATAATATTTTATCTTATGTATAAAAATGGATCGCAAATGTGTTGGTAAGCGCATAACTCAACAACGCCTGAACCAATTTGGCCAATTCTTTTTTTAAAATGTTCGTTTATGTCTAAAGATGGTTCTTACGACGAGAAAAAATCGAATAATCGTCAGGAAACCCCTAAAAAACAGCCCTTTTCTAACTAATACAAATAATCGTAGTCGGCTTCTCGATATTATTTTTTTTGTTTTACTTTTGACAGGCGATAAAATTGGTATGGCTTTAAAGAATTTGACTTCAAGTCATATAAGATTAAAACAATCAATATCAATGTCCATTTGCCGCCCTTGTCGGTGGTGTTTTTTTTTTGCATTTTGTGTTATACTCTACTGAGTGTGCTTTTGTTTTGTTTGTAGTGTTTTGTTATCTACCTATGAATAAAAAGTTATTGCATGTGACACAATATTTAATATTGCCTCCTATAAGACGAGGCAATTTAAGTAGAAGAACACGAAATGCTACAAACCAAGCTAATTATCGATCTAATCGTACTGCACAAGAACATGACGACCGAAATGAACATAAAAGTTACTCAATACCAAATGGGCCGCTATATTAGTAGTAATGAAGCAATTTGGCGAATATTTTATTTTCCAATTCATGAGAGACACCCTTCTGTTATTCACTTAGCTGTGCATTTAGAAAATGGCAAAGGGTGTACTTTACAGCAGTGAACGCAGGTCAAAGAGCTGCTCAGCCAGCATCTACTACATTAACAAGTTTTTTTGAGACATGTCAAAACGATAATTTTGCACAAACACTGCTATATTCTAAAATGCCAAAATATTATACTTGGAATCAAGAAGATTTATACACGAAAACAAAAAAAAAAAACACTGGATACACAGATGTATATTCCACCGATGCGATTGATCGAATTTATTCAGTACATCCAAGCCATGGTGAATGTTTTTATTTACGACTGCTATTAGTGTACGTGGCCCAACATCATTCTAACATTTACGAAATGTTGATGGTGAATTTGTGGATCCTACAGAGAAGCCCCCAATTGGGATCAAACTCTCAGCGATGCTGTAATATCTTCACACGCTCATCAAATACGAACATTGTTTTCTATAATCATATCCACATGCTTTCCATCAAACCCAATTGATTTGTGATCAAGTACAAAGATTATATGTGTGATGATATTTTTTGTTATTTGACACAACAGAATGGCAAATCCAAATATGCAGTAAATATCAGTAAAGAAATTTACAATGAAGCCTTGATTTCAATTGAAGACATGTGCTGGATGATGTCAAACAAACTATTAATTCAATTAGGTCTGGCCGCGCCCAATCGTCCAATGCATGATGCTTTTAACCAAGAGTTACACAGAGAAAAACTGTATGATCTCAACAATTTGAAAGAATTAATCGAAACAAAACTTCCACTGTTGAATGAACAACAGAAGTATGTATTTGATACTCTTATGAAAGTAACAAATGATGGAACTGGGGGGATTTACTTCTTAAATGCGCCTGGTGGTACAGGAAAAACCTTTTTGATTTTATTAATATTGGCAACAATTCGCTCACAAAACAAAATTGCACTTGCACTCGCTTCATCGGGAATCGCAGCAACTTTACTCGAAGGTGGTCAAACAGCCCATTCAGCAATAAAATTGCCATTAAATATGCAAAGCAATGAAACTCCAACTTTCAACATAACAAAATCTTTTGATGCTTTGAACAGAACCTTAAAAGATCAACAGAGCAATCAGAACCGATTTGGTAGATTTTTTTGACAGGGCGAAGTCTGTCGGGTCAGCTAGTAAACAATATAAATCAATAATGAAGAAATATCCCACTAAAATAGAACACAGTTTTTGTACTTTTAAGATAGGAACAAGATTTTGAGATATCTGGAAACGTAGATAGTAGCAAAATTTAGCCCTAATGTGTTCACCGAAACTCAATTTTTGCTTTTTTATGTTTGAAACTTAATAATCTTGAAATTGTAATACCTACTCTTTATAAGTAATAAAAACAACATATCTTTAAAACTATAAGATTATTTGACATAAATTATAATTATTTTTCACCTACCTGTTTTCCGCATCTGTCGCACACATATATTAGTACGAATATAACCAATTCATTTATAGATGAAAATAAATATGCAAGAATAACTAAAATAGATTTTATTTGACTTGTAAGTGTTTTATAAAGAATTCCATAGAAGTCCGCAACCGTCCAAACAAAAATCATAACAACTGTAATGAAGATCAGTTTACCAAAGCTGTTGTTAATTTCTTCTAATAGTCCACAAAGTTCCATTAAATTTTCTAATATGGATTTCAATTCACAACATTTTTTTAAATATGCTTTGTGGTCAGTCAATATATCTTTTCGAAAAGACAATTTAATATATTGCGAAGTAGATTTAAATCTTTGAGTAATTGAATGCGCAAGACTGATGTATAAGTAAATAATCAACATCGTAACAGTGTTCGGTATAAAAAATAAAAATTCGTAAAACATTATATCTATTCTCCAATAAAATAACGATTGAATGAAGAAAAAGCACCATTGCAATGCAAACAACGCATATCCAAAACTTATATACCAAACTCTTCGCCTGCGTTCAAGTTCATTATCAACAATCTTTAAGACGTCGTCAAAAATTACCAATTTTTGAAATATCTGTATCACTGATTTGTTTTGAAAAAATTGAGTGATATAAATTGCTATCAAACAAGTGATCCCAAAGAATAATTGCAGAAACATGGTTGTATTTTGAAGGTGGGTTTGAGGTCCAAAATGATTTGTGATATAATTCGTAGTAAGAAGATACAATACTACAACTAAACAAAATGTAGCACATGATGCTGGAAAAATCAAATATAATTTATTACTAATAATATTGTTTGTATCTTTTAGATTAAATGGAAATGCAGTAAAGTACAGCATTGGTTTAAATATCAAGTCATTTTCTTCCCAAATATTTTTTGGTTGTAAATATTTTTCACATAATAAATTTATATGATGTTTGCTCTTCTGAAACATCGATTATAATTATATAACTAGAACCTATGTTTGATAAAAATATTTGTTCCATTATGTAATGTGCATAATTGCAAAGCAAATTAGTCAATTTGTCAATTAATTATTAATTCATATATTAATTGATTACTAAAGTACTATTAATGCAGTTAATATTATATCATGTACAGCGTTATGAGCAATGCTGAAAATAATATAACATGATATATATATATATATATATATATATATATATATATGTGTGTGTGTGTGTGTGTTTGTGATTATTAATATGTGCGCATAGGTATAGTGTCCATCTTATCTGTTTTTTGAAAACAATAAGTATTTAGAATATAAAAAATTATGTTATAATTGTGACAAAATGAGGAAAGCAAGATTTCCTCAAAAAAATCGCGACAATATTTATAATAATGATTAGTTACACAAACAAAAAGTATACTAAGGATTTATTCGCTCTGAAGGATAAATCAGAGTGACGAGCCAAGTTTTATTTTCTGTTAGAGATCGATCAGGCAATCGTTTAGCATAGCGTATTTGACATACAAACCATTTCTGGTGTATATTGCCTTAAGGCTTGGATATTATTATTGATTGATTCCTACATTCCTGGTGAAATTTGCAATGAATAATAGTGTCTCGTCGGATTTGTTGAGTACTAGTTGCAAAGGTTTGTTTGTACTGTCTGTAGTCTCCGTCGATTGGTTTTTGTTGTCGCATTCCAGCTAGAGAGCGGCGTACTACTGTATTGGTCTTATCAATCAATCAATGTCAAGTATAGTGTCCGCTTATTCTTCACGCTCAGCGGTTGTGGTTCAAAAGAGTTCTCGGTAAATTTATCACCCCGCAAGCCTGTCCGATTTTCTATGGTGCGATATATATGTGATATAAACTGTTTTAAAATTGAATTTTGAGACCAGTGCAGCACAGTAGCAATGTAAATTAATTTTATTTAAATAGTCGAAATCTTTCTTGAGTATAGTAGCTAGTTATTACTCTACCAGGATATTTTTATAATATTTTAGGTGCGATTGCCTTGATTGATTAAAGATATCAATTTATTGTTTTGAATCGAAAGTTATTACAACGATGTATAGAAGCAATCAAAAATGCACTATTTAACTAAATTCGAAAGAAGATGTACATTTCAAAAAAAATTTTTCACTAACAATAAAGTTAAGATTAGTGAGCGTACTCTATCTGCTTATTAATCTCAATCAAAACATTTATGACAATGCTGATTCAGACGAACAATATTCCGTTGCTTATTTTACAAATGGCTTAGTTTAAATTTCTCTTATCGAGAGTCTGAAACACATTTGGCCATAACTACAGGTTATTTTAACGTAAAATCTGAAGAGATATTGTCTTGCACTCAAAGATTGAAAGAAAGATTTTTATTGAAATTTTTCAATAGATATGAGTTTGAAATTTAGCTGAAATCTAAAAATATAAATAGGGTAATTTAAGATGAAATAATTATTACAGGTGAAGATGTAGCATGCTTTAGAGACCGAAAATGAATTAATTTTTTGTATTAATTAAGTAATCTTTTGTATTTTTCAAAAAAAAAAAAAAAAATAAATTTTTTTATATACCTTCATGCTCCAAAACCTGGGGAGCATTTGCATACATTATAAAAAATAGATGTCCGTGTGGGGTATGTGTTTGTATATATGTATGTGTGTGTATGTATATACGAATACAATTTTTTGTCGACGATTTCGAGAGCACGGATCAACCGATTTTAATGATTTAAAAAACATACGATTTCTATTGATAAGGTGACGTACTGTTAAGTTTTTGACCAAGGCAGGCCCAGTCGTTTCGAAGATGCGGGGCAAAAAATGCCAAAAATGGAAATTCAGTTTTTGAGAGAACAGAGCGTCCGATTTCAATAATTCAAAAGCACTTTTACTTGTATTGCAAAACTGATTAAATATTTGGAGCTAACGACCTTACATTCGAAAATTATATAAATGACTTTGAATGTATAAATATGAAATGTTTTATTTTTTATTGTAATTTTAGATAATACTAGCACTTTGGTAACTAGAACTGTTAGCAAATTTTTGATACTTTTTTCGGAATCAGCATCCTCGAATTACTTGACAATCATAATGCCTCTTAGTTCCGTGTGTGATCTAATTGCATAATACTTATTTTGTATTATCAAATTATGTCATTTTGACTGCTATAATGCCATAATTATTGAAGTTCTACAATCTTGTTATTCAGCTCACAAACTATCTTGAAATATTTTATTTTCATGAAACCATTGACACTGTGAAATACATTTGAAATAATATCACAAAATATTTAGCAAATGCAGCTATTATCTGAAAGAGAAGATATTATGATTTAAACTATTGATGTTAGAGTTTCTTGTGTTTTATTGCAATATAACTTACGGTATTCATCAATTTGAGATTTAATATTAACATCACTCCACAGTTCAATCTTAGCTCCATATATGTAGATTGAAGATAAAAAGACTTAAGTCTTAAATGCAGGAAATTATAATTATTTATGTCCATTAGATATTCAAAAACGACTGACCGAGCTTGCTGAGCCTAGAAGTAAGATATTAAAAATATTAATTGTAATTAAAAACAATTAACGATTTTATATAAGTCTTTGAAACTCTATTATTTGGAATTAATATCGCTAGTTTACATGCTTTATCAATATTTTTGAAATTGTTGTTAAGCAAATTCATTTTATTCCATAGCATGATGTACAGTATTCGAAGTTAAATCAAAGCTTTCCCTGAAACTGCTTCACCATTCCTTAATTTTGAAAATCATTTAATGAGTGATATGTCGACAAATTTTTCAACCCATTTTTGACCAATTGTAAAATTTAGCCTAAATCTTTTGGAAAATGATCAGTTGCAAGTTGCAATGCACATTAATCGATGTTGTGTACACATCGGCAGATTCGTTACTTTTTATTCTTTTTAATTAACTATTGGACATTAAATTCTTAGCGGCTGTAGAAAGTGGGGTTATTAAGTTGAATTGGACTGGATTCGACTTTTGATTTAGGAAAACAACTATGATCAGACTATCAGAATAACGAACGGACAATACCTAAATTATTTTCGATTGATTAACTCAAATTGTATTTGCTACATTACTAACCTTTTTTATGCACTCTTCACATGTGCGAAACATAATGAATTGATTTAGCATATAACAAAATGTCTCAAACAATAACTCCATTGCTACGTTCCATCGTAAAAAATGATCACGAGAATATCCTGCTCTGAGATTAGATATTAATTGAACAAATTGAATTGTGTTTGTTACTATTGAAACAAATTCAGTGCTATTAATCTACAATTGGATGTTCCAATATTGATTCAATTTTTTCCAAAATGTCGTACATATCCAGTAACGTACCGATCATTGACTAATTTTATGTTCTATTCGTTTGGTTTTCTTTGCCAAGATACAATTTTAAGTTTCCTCAAGTACATTTGCGTTTTGTGAGTTTCAAAATATCTTTTAATAATTTTTGTAAATTAGAAAATCTTTGGTTATTGAATGTAATATGCTTACATACAGATACATCACTGATGTAGTAAATAAATTTTGTACAAAGAATAAGCTGTTGACATGAAAAACCATTTCATTTGGTATTTTATATAATATGGTCACAAAAACCCAGCACCACTGCACACTAAACAAAATAAAACCAAAAATTAGGTACATTTGTTTTCGTTTCTTTTTAATTTTAATGTTATTTGCACAATTGACATTTTCCATTGTTTTGTCAGCTCTATCAAGAATTTCAAACACATTTATTAACAACTTTTTTTGGTTGAATTGCCGAATAGAAACGTGAATTAAAGTTAACATATTAATTGACAATTGCAATAGCAAATATATAACATTTAAATCAAATGCTTCTTTCAGTTGAGTAGTCACGAAGTTCGGTAAATAAAATGTTAAAAAAATACTATAGAAACAAATAACATGGGAAATATTAGATATTTAATGGGTAAAAACAAGTTTTTTCTGCTGTCCATTTTTTTACTGTCAAAGAAAATGTAGTAAAGCACTTCATTAAATTCAAAACTATTATATTTTCTTCATAAAAACATCGCGAGGTTTGAAGTATTTTAGGAACATTTTGAAAAATAACTGAAGTAATATTATCCATAAAAATGCTCATATAAATACAATTAGAAGACTAACTATAATTTCAATACCTTACGAAACGTTAGTGACGAAATTTATATCTTCATGCGCGAACATAATAAATTTTCATTTCCTCATTGTTTACATCTTATAATGCATATGACAACAATATAATTCAAACACTAGTTTTTCAGATAGCAAAATTACAAATTAATATTTCCCACCTCTGGGGAATTGATCATGTTATAGAAAACTAATCAATTGAAATTAAATTGACAGATGTCGAGTAATTTATTTATATTGGGTATAACCTAGTAACAGCATCCACTTATATTAACTTCCTTATAAGGAATACACTTGTTTCATAATTGCACTATAAGAATTAAAACATTTTACACATCTTACATAAATATATATGTATGCAAATTTTGTCCCCATTTTCACAAAATATCTAACAAAAATGAAAATTTAACCGTATTAAACTTTTCCACTCGCGAATTGCGAGATTTTATCATAGTTTTGCCCCCAGAGCGGCGGCATCCGCTCTTCACATTGTAGTTCACATTAAAAAAGCTAAATTAAATAACAAAAATTATTTTCTACATTTTTGCTCTGAGGTAATTGATTGATATTGTTCAATCAAATAATTTTTAATTCTCCGAAAAAGAAAAATGTGTATGTAAGCATACATTTTTAATTTTTACAAACGGATGCATTTAAAATAAAAACTCAAAAACAATTAATAAGGTCTGTCAAATTGTTTAGTTTTGCAAGACAATCTGCCGCACCGTTTCTTTAGAATTATAAGAACCAATTTTTTTTAATTTAATTTTATTCTGCAATCTGTATATATTATTACATTAAGCAAGAAATGCTGGCAAGTATATGGTAAAATAAAATTGATTATAATGTAGTTGATACCCCATCAGTGGCTTATCTACTAGAATTAATTAAAATATGACAATAAAAAACTAAAAACAGAAGGGAAAGAATAATAAAATATAGTAAAATGAAAGTGTTATAGTTAATTATTTTATATTAGGTCTTCAGACACGTTTCTTTTAAGTTTGGTCGGTGGCCTTCCAAATAGACTTTGCGTGCTAATTTGTTAGGATAGACGTCTATTCTGTTTTCATAATTATTGGCAATCAAATGCCAAATATTTAGATATAAATGCCTCGTTTTAGACATAATTATGAACCGATTTTGAAAATTAACTAGTGGGGCGCATGGCATCGTGCTTTAAGGCAATTGCTGGAACTTTCCGTACCAATTTTTTTATTTTGAAAAGATTAACATTTTTGAAAAAAAATTACTCTGAAAAAATTAGATTTTTGAGAAACTATAAATTTTTGACAAAAATTTACCTTTTTTTTGAAAAAAAAAGGCTTTTTGAAGAAAAATTTATTTGAAATTTTTTTGGAAAATCTGAACTTTTTTCAAAGCATCGTACTGCTTTAACTGCACAGAGACGAAATATCGAAGCGCGCCGCGTCCGCCGTCTAACGGATAAACACTGGTACGGAACCCATAGAAATGTAAACAAATTTATACTTATTGTTAAAATCTCTATAAATATCTGATTAAATATCTGATAATTTGATGTG